GGAACTGGGATTGGAATGTGATTTATCAGTTGATAACAGGGATGGAATTGAAAAGTCTGAGATTATCCATCAGATTTCTGCAATTGATGAAAGGTTTAAGAAGCTTAGTGTATTGGTGAGTAAGGAGATATCCTTTCTTAATTATAATTTGCTTTTAGACAGTATCAGCTCTAGCAAGCAAAACAGTAAATGAAAGAAGGAAAGACAGGGGGTTCTTTTAAGTAGGTTGCAGGTGTTATGGTTGGAGACAAATATCAGAATTTGTAGGGATGTTTTTTCTACTTTTTCTTTTCTCTGGAATAGATTATTCTTCTGGGCATCTCTTTGGGCTAACGCATATGGGCATTTCAAAGGATATTCTTTGCCAATTTTGCAGAGAAATTGGTTGGCATCCTTGATTTAGGGATCTTCTTTTCCATTTTTAGACGACATGTTGTCCTCATTTTTTTCTTAACTTTTTCTGTTCTTCTCTAATAATTTTTCTTTTTCTATAAATAAAGTAAACGATTAAATGAGGCCATTGGCTTTATTGTAACTTTTGGTTTACTCTGAAATATAGAGAATGCTATCAAATATAAGATATAGTTTCGGCTTTGAAGATACTGACTTTAGTCACATATTTACAATTGATGATGCTGATGCTGCAAAATTTGTTGGGTTGAAAAAGTTAATAAGCATTTATATGCTCTTACAAATTTCAAAGCTACTGCTCCATAGTTCTTTTTATTTATGGGCTGGAATCGTTTCAATTGATTCCACACCCTAGATTATTTTGTTTACAAGGCAGCCTTTTCTTGACGATGTGGCTTTGGGGAACCTTGTAGATGTTTTGATTTCTTGTCTTCTGTAAATATTTTGGATTTGGACACCCTCCTTGTGACTTTTCAGTGTCACGTCTTTTTATCTAAAGAAATGGGACTCAGTTGATTATTTTTTACCTCTTATAGATGAAACATTGGGCAAAAGCACATGATATTAACAGCTCCAAAGACCGAACTTTGAATTCTCTATCTATTATATCATTGGTTGCTTTCCATTTGCAGGTATTTATTCTTTTTATATTTCTCCAACTACTACATGTTTGACATGAATGAATTGTTCCGATTGGTCATCTAGTTATTGGATAACAACCCTTTTATAGAGGTAACAATTAGATTGAGGTCAAATAACCTACTTAAGAGGTTAAGTTCAAGATAGATGTTTACTGGCTTGCAAGAGAATGGTGCATATTGATAGTAAAGGGATGTTCTCAATTTTTTTGTTTAAATGATGAGTACATTTCTTACCTCGAGATTTCCCTAACTTTGTGGTCTTTCCTCTAGAGATGCTCCTATCACTCCTTGAACCACCATGATGGGCACATTTCCTGAAACCTTTTTTTCTTTAGAAATCCCAATAGTTGTGAGCTATTATAATTCATATCTTTAGTTACTTGTATTCTTTTCTTCCCACTTAGTTGATATAGTAAAGAAACAACAACGAGGATGTAATAATAATTGAAAGCGTGTCCAGAAATATATTGTGTAAACTAGTAATGAAAAAAGGTATTAAGTTATAGGAGGACTAGATTGATTTTTTTTTAAAACATAATGAACAGAATTATCATTATTTCCAAACATCAAGGACCAAGGTATAAGTTTCTCTTAATATTTTTTAACGTTTCTATCTAAAGTTTGTAGAATATTCTTTTTCTAGTGTAACTATTAATACTTTCTGCTTTGTCCTACCGATTTCTTTGTTCTTTGCTCTTTTTTTTTTCTTATGCAGACTCGAAATCCTCCCATATTACCTCCTTTTTCTGTTCTACTTAAAGGTGATATCTCCACACTTTTTACAAGAAGTTCTTGTAATACTTACTTCAACTTGAATTCCTCATTGAACTATGACACCAAATTTTGTTTGAGAATATTTCTTCTCTAATGGAAGAACTTATAGGTTGCATATAATTTAATTCTTATTCTTGTCCTGCTTCATTTTTACCTCCATTCTTAATATTAGTCTTGACATAGAATTAGAACATGATTGTATGTTGGATCTTTCTCCTGCTCTCAGTTTACTCTCATTTTATATTATTTTAAGATGGGAACTCAGTTCCTATTAATTAGTGTGAATTAAATTGTTCTACTACTCTTGACATATAAAATAAGAACATGAATATGTTACATCTATATTTTGATAAGATTTATATATTATTTCATGATAAATTGATAAAATGTCATACAGTTACTTAAATTATCAAAATAATACAGATTGTATTTATTTTATATTATTTTCATTTCATAAAGTTGCAGAGAAACTATTGCAGAAATCTTGTAATCATTGATTTGAATTTGTTATATTTAATTTTAAAGAATTGAATTTCTTTCTGATGAATTAAAAAAATTTCAAATATCAAATCATATAATAACTTTCAATTTTTATATATACTTAAATTTATTGTTGTCCCTGAATTTTGAGATAATCAACATGCTTTTTTTTCTTTATATTATTATTTTTTGTATATATGAATTATATCAAGTATATATTCTATTAATATATGAATGGATGGAAATTATTATATTGAATTAATATTATTATATTATTATCAATAAGGGTATATGTGTGAGAAATAATCTACTAATTAATCTGTTTGATTTAAGATGGCTTCCTCAACTATGACTTAGATGTGTGTTTGTTTACTTATTACCCTTTATATTTGGCTTGTGTGTCGTTTATCTCTTCTGTTGTCATTACTCTTCATTCAGTTGATACTTTGACATCGAGACTGCTCTTTAGAGTTTCAGATGGAGCTGATCCTGTAGATGTTGGGAGGGTTGTCCAAAAGTACATAAACTATGGCAAAAAGAATGAAGAATCCTTGGCCGAGCTTTTCGTCACTTTACTAATCAAGGTAATGTCTCTATCTTCTACTAAATAATCGTTTAGATACAATAGAATGGCAAATCAAAGAACTATTTCCTTTGAAAAATAGGACATATTGCATTTTATTTTGTGAATTATATTATTTATGGTTATGTTGCAGCTGGCATCAGTTGAAAAACTTTGGCATCAAGGGCTCTGTGTTAGCTTGTTTGATGGATTATGGATATCCAAAACATGGGATTCTGGAATTGGCTCTATAAGTGTAATTTTTTTTTCCTTTCATTCTGGTGAAATAGTTAGGATTGTTTTTTCTCGAAAAAAGGGTCACTATTGTATGTATACATTCTCATGTATATTTTTTTTTTTGTTTTTCTTCGATTTTTTGCTGTGGCCGCTCAGATTGAGGATTTTGTGTACAGATCTGTAAATTTTGCCAGGGCGGTAAGCAGGGCAGGAGCCAAGAAAATTTACAGCTGCATCCACCATTCAATTGGTCATATAGGTTCCTTCTTGGAAGGCCAAATACAGGAATCTCAGTGCAAAGAACTCATATTTGGCTCTGATGTCAGTACAATGGCTACTGTACAAGACATGGTTTGCCAAAATCTGCACAAAGATACAGTTAAGCATCCCATTGATCCAGAGCATCATCAAAGAAAAAAGATGCGATTAACAGGAATTTTTGAAGAAACCCGACTTGCACAAAGTTCGGAAGGGGAACACAATGAACCAGGGTGGAACGGCAGTTTGTTTGCAAAAGAGAGAGGAACCTTGCATTTGGAACAATGCAGAACACTGCTGGATGACAACAGGAGAGAAAGTGGATACTTGAATTTCCGGAGTGACAAATGGCAGAATCATGCTGGAAATTCAGGTCTAATGCCACCTGCCCATGCCCGACAATTCCCTTCTCAAACTCGTGTTGCTTCCAGCTTTGATAATGCCAGGTTCTATGATCCTCAAAAACTTCCTCCTGTTCCTTTTCCATATCCCACAGGCTTTGGAGAGTCCCATGAACCTCTACCCCAATTCTCTCCAATTTTACAAAATCACCCGGGATTTTTTAGACCCATGTCTTCTCATGGACCTTTTTATGGTAAACAAACTCTAAACCATCAAGAATTTATACCCTAGGACATAGTCACATAGGTTACTGTCCTATGTTTATAGAGTTTACTTTAGCTTCAGATTCCCAGTTCTTGGTAGAAACTAGAGACAAATATCCCAAAAAGAAAGGTGCATATGCCTTGCACCCGAATGCCATCATTTGATTGCGAGTAAGATTCTTAATATCAAAATTGTTGGTAGCTGGGTGAGGATGTATATAAATTGAATGAAATTTGGCTGAACCCGATCATTGTTGTATTGTTAGTGTATCTTGTCAGTCGGTTCTATTAATTGAAGTAATGTAACTATTTAAGATACCATGTGATATGGAAGAAGAGGTAAAATCAATGCTTTTTTTATGTTGATTTTTCGATTTGAAGCCATTTCCTGTGTGGGTTTTTATGAAATTGGAGATTTGTCACATGCTATGAATCAATTATATAATAGGTTATATATATATATATTTACTTTATCTATATAAAATATTTGTTAGTAAGAATATAATGCTAATAATATAATATATATTTAACCAATGAACTTTGAAGGTATATCAAAATACTATATCAATGGTTACTTTACTTAAATAAGAAGATATATTTAGTAATATAAATATTATATATCTATTTTTTATTTAATAAATTTACTTCAATATCATCTTCTACTTGTAATTAAAACATATATGATAATATAAATTATAAAGCATTTATATTAAATATATATTTTCTAATTTTTAACTTACAAATTTATCTTTTTATCAGCAATTTATTTAAATAAATTATTATTTAAATAATTTCAAACAGTCTCTGTATAAATTAATATATTTGGTAATTTATATTAACTAAATACTTATTTGTATAAAACTATCTATCATACTAACTAAACATTTTGCAGAGTCGAAGTCGACACGTAACCCGATACCAGCTCTGTAGTTCTAAAGCTTTTCATTTCTTCTCTCAGAATCTTCCAGTCAGTGCTTGGTTTCTTCTTCTAATTTAACCGTCTCGTCCGTCTCATCCAAGGATCATTACTGCCTGGTTCATGTTGTTCATTTCCAGTTACTGATCATCAAAATGTGGAGCAGGCGTTTCAAACAAATCTCCAGTTTGAATCTCAAAGCGAAGGCGATTAATTGTAGCAACGATTCGAAATTAGGATTAGGTTTGATGTGGAGAAGATGGATGTCGGGGGAGCAAGGTAGACGGTTCGCAGCTCTGTGGGGGAATGGAGACTACGGTAGGCTGGGATTGGAGAGCTTAGACTCTCGGTGGAGACCTGCCGTTTGTTCTGTCCCTGCATTTCACCATCAGAGCCTCAAGGCCATTGCCTGTGGTGGTGCCCATACCCTATTTCTAACAGGTGCTTCTTCTTCTGGGTTGATTGAGAAAATTTAGGATAATGATAATGTGAACTTTTCTCTGTTGGATTATTTGCCTGTTTGTTGTTGTTTTGATTTTTCATCTTAGAAGAAAACTGTCTTCATTTTTTGTTAGCTATATGTATATTTTTTTCTTTGATGAAAAGAATTGGGCTGGCTTACTTAATTTCCTTGAGCTGAACTGAGGTTGATCATTGGATTGGGGACAGGATGGAAACAATAGAATGTGAGTTGAACCTAATGGAAAGTGAACTGTGAAGTTAAAGATTATTTATATCAGTATTTTATTGAAATAGTTGAAATATCCTCTGTAGAATATTGCACGCTCTTGGTGCTCTTTTATATATCTTACACTTTTTCTTTTCCTATTAAAAAAAGAAGGTAAGAGAGAAGAAGAGTAGAAATGACAGAAAAGACAGGAATTGAGAGAGAAACCTAGTAAAGAGAAATTGATTGTTGATTCGGATGATTGTATTCCAATACTAAATATTATTTTATCTACGACAGTCCAAAGAAGCTGTATAAATTATCCTTTTCGATAAACTCGGAATAACACAACAGAAATGGACAGTTCGTGGTTATATCTTTCTATTTGCATTTGACGAAGAGGGGATGTGCTGATGAAAGGTTTTCCTCTAGTATGATTTAGAAAGTGAAGGCAATTCATAGGGTGGATTGTTTTGCATGGGAAGTGACCTGAGAGTGTATCCTCACGCTAGACAAGCTGATCAGAAGGGAGGAATCCGGTGAGTGGATGCCATTTGTGCAAGAGTAGTGAGGAAACATGCAACCATATCTTTTTTCAATGCACATTTGCTCATTGCCTTTGAGGTTTGGTTTATGACTTTTTGTGTTTGAGTCAGGTCATTGCTAGCGTTTTGAGGGATGAGTTTTGGGATTAGAAACGCATTCAAGTAATCTCTAATGCTTATTCCTTTGGCTATCTTTTTGACAATTTGGAACGAGACAGACAGAAGGGCTTTTTGAAGGGATTTAACTTTTCTTTTGATAGATTTCAAGATTTGTGGTTGCAGACTCTTAAGTTTTTTGTTAAGGAGCCAACTATTGTATTCTTGATGTGTGGTGTTTCAGTTGGCAGCATGGTTAATTCTATGGAAATATCACATTTTTTTTTTTTGCGGATGACATACTAATTTTCTGCAAACCAGAGTTGGGGAACCTATTGCACTTGCGCTGTGTTCTGTTGTGTTTCCAGGCTGCTTCAGGTCTTAAGATCAACCTCAATAAATTGGTATTGGCCTGCATTGGGGATGAGGGCAGTGTTGACATGTTTGCTAAGGTATTGGGCTGCAAGGTTACCAAATTCCCTTTTAAATATCTTGGAGTACCGTTGGGTGCAAAATACAAGGATAAAATGTCTTGGGATCCGGTGATTGACTTGTTTGAAAGGCGGCTTACCGGATGGAAACTTTCTATCAAAAGGGGGCATGTATACTTTAATTAAAAGTACCTTGGCTAATTTCCCAATTTATTATCTATCGACTGTCACAATTCCGGTAAGTGTGGCCAAGA